ATATATATATATATATATATATATATATAGACATATATATATATATATATATAGACATAAATTATATACATAAATTATATACTTGCTTTAGAACGTGTATTTTCCATCAAAATAACATAATCATCGTAATTTAATAAAAATTGTGGTAAAACGTGGCACAAATAAGCTCCATATTTTGTTAAAAAAGTAAGAATAGTATCATAAAAATTAAATATATAATTTGCCCTTTCAATGTCATTTTTTTCTGGTGGTTCTTTACTATTTTAATGAAAATATAAATAGAGTTATTAAGTATTATTTTTTTAAAAAGCAAATACATTTATATTAAATAATAAATAATAGATAACATTAAATATAGTATTTAATATATAAATAAATTCGAATTCTTTAATTCTTTAATCATTTTTTTTAATAAAATTTTAATGAAGAATAAATTTTGCATGTATTTAATGTAAAAATTAAAAAGTACAAAATATAAGATATATATATTCCCCATACATTTTCCCTACATTTAAATTAGCAAAAATTCTATCATTATATTATATTATTTAATTTTATAATTATAATACTCACAATTTTCCTATATAATCATAAATTACTGGTCCTAGCAATGATTCAAGGACACCTACTAAACCCAATTCTGGACCTTTTCGAATTGTAGTTCTAAACTGTCCTGGTTTCTTTGAATAAAATTTTGATAATATCATTGGAATGTTTAAAATGTCGAAATAAAAATTAAATTTGAAAGGTCCATTGTATAACCATTCTTCTGCGGCTTGTAGCGTTTGAATCATATAAATTTCATATTCGCTATAATTGAAATAATATTATAAGATTATTAATTAATATTATATATTATGTTTTTAAATATATTATACAAATAATATGTTGCGTGTAAATATAATCAATAATATAATAATAACGATAGAATAGTATTTATTATGAATAATAATATAATAAATAAAATAAGCAAAAAATATAATAATTAAACAGTAAGCAAAAAAAACTCACTTATTTTTATTATCAAAAGGAAAAAATGGATATTGCATTGATTCTTGAATTATTTCTTTAGTTGTGATATCTGTAACGAAATTTGGAATTTTTGTTTCAGAAAAAGGTTTTTCCGATACGAATTTTTTTGTTCTTCCTCAATATTGTGATTATTTTTTTCGTATGAAATATCCGACTTGTATATAGCTAATTTATATTTATTTTCTGTTAATTTTTCAAGCGAAATTCGATTTTTTCGAGTAAAATAAGTTAAAATACCTATTTTTAAATCTGATTTTTTCTGAAATAAAATATAAATGTTAAATCAATTTAATCACACTATTGATAAGTGTGTGTGCGCAGGCGCGTGTGTGTATCTGTGTGCAACATATAATACTATTAATAATGTATATTTAGTATAATATATATATATATATATTATATATATTACTAGTTACATTATTAACGTAAATATTATATATTTACGTATTAAATATAAGATTAGTTGAAAAAAGCATTCAGTAAGATATAGAATTTTTTTTTTTATCTAATTAGAATTGATAAAAGAAAAAAAATCTCTTACATTTTCTTGGTTTTGATTGCAGATTTCATTTCCTTCGTCGGTAAAATTGGATATATATGAATCGGAAACACATGTTCGTTTATCAAAATTAATTGATTGAATTTCTTCAAAATCGATAATTGAATTTCTTAAATACATATATGTAGTTAATAAACAATTATCAGATGTAGCATAAATCGTTACAGGACAAATGGCAATTCTATCGCCATCGAAAAATTCAATGGTCGTGCGAAATGAAACAGGTGCCTTGCTTTTAAATATTATTCGTACTTCTAATTCTGAAAATCTTTTGTAATAAATTTACAATCATTTCGTAATATATTCGTAAATATATAAAATAGCATAATCGTAAATATATAAAATTTTAAAAATATATTTTTTAATGAGAAAACAAAGAATATTCGATAAAATTAAAATATTAGATATATATATTTTCATTCATGTAAGAAATGTAAACATACAAACATAGTAATATTCCTTTGTAATAATGTTCTTTGTAAAAATAATAATAATACTTATATTATGTTAATTAATTTGAGTTTGTTGTAAGTACAATGTAATAATTAAAACATATTACAATTAATATAGTTTTTTTCAATGAATATAAATATGTTTTAATCAAAAACAAACAATATATGTTATAAATTGGGAAAGCATACATGCATATGTAAAGCATATGTAAAAACATTTTTATATATTTTTATATATCTTGCTACGTTATAATGAAATAAATAAAAATTTTTACACTTGTTTTGAATATATTCTTGTAACGTTACATATTTTTTGTCATTTTTTTATTCAAAATTGGAATTAATTTTTATGCAAATTTTCCATCTTATAATATCATCTTATAATATGCATATAAATAAATCTAAAAAAATGAATATTTAAACGTTTAATTACTTACTCAGAAGCATATGCAACATTTGTATCTACAAAATGTATAAGAAGAATATTATCCATGTATTCTCCAATGGAATATTCAGGAGACAATTTTTTTGCTAGAATAACTGTATCCTTCTCAAAATATTTTATAATTAAATGAAACTTTTTTTCGATCGATGTATTTAACGGTACAGGTGTAAAAAATATATCTGAAAATTCAGATTGAATCGTACAAGCAGGATATTCACCGATAAGACATAATTTATTAAACATTCCACCGTTCAATTCATCATGGATAAATATCGGTGCTTCAATGTTAAAGTTTCCTCGTGATTTCGGTTGAAATGTTAATTCGAAGCTACATGCTTTTCCTTGCTCTAAAGTACATTGAATATAATCGGATGTTATGATTGGTTTTTCACCGTTGGACCAGTGAATAGAAAATGGACAAGAAGCAATTGAAAAATTGCTGATATCTATTTGAATAATTTTCTCTTCCAGCGAATCATAGTTTTTTATATAGAATTCATCTGAAATCTTTAACGCGAAATTAATTTAAAATTAATAAATATCAATTTTCTCTTTGATAGTTTTATATTTTGGATTTATCGTTAAACGTAAAATAATTTTTTATACATACATACATATATATATATATATATATATATATATATATATATATATATATAATAATAA